AGTAATTGGAGAGTCTCTGAAAGTAATCTGGCATTTCTTCGTGCACATGTTAGAATCTTTATGTTTTACTGTGGAGAGTTTGACTACAATGTGTCGTGGTGAGGATCTTTTCTGGTCATGTCTATTAGGAGGTCTGTGTGCTTCCTGTACTTGGACATCCCATTCTTTCTCCAAATTAGGGAAGTTTTCTGTAATTATTCCCCCCAAATGGGTTTCTAGTGCATTTTCTCTTTCCGCACCTTCAGGAGCTCCTGAGGCCTGTACGTTGGTCATTCGATAGTGTCCCGTAGATCTCCAGCACTTGAATATTCTTTCTTCTGCCTCACCATGTCTGTTAAGGGTTTCCACCATATTTTTTATTTGATCTATTGAATTCTTCATTTCTATATTTTGTTTGGATTTCTCTTTAAAATCTCAATTTCATTAGAAAATTTTCTTTCATGCCATGTACACATTTCTTTAGTTTGTGGGTTTGTTTCTGATTGCTTCTACATAATCCTACAATCAATTTTTTGAATTCCGTTTCTGGCATTTCTTCGATCTCTTCATTTCACAGTCTAGTATTGAAGTGTTGTTGTGTTCCTTTAGGGGTATCGTGTTGTCTTCCTTATTCTTGTTTCCTGAATTGCTGCATTTATTTTTAGGCGTTTGTGGTGATACTTGTTGGTTTTCCCCCACTGTGATGGCTTTATCTTTGAGCCATGCCTCTGGGACTTAGTGCAGTGTCTGCTCTTTCACTGAATACCCTGAGGTCTGCCGGCTGTGGCAGGGAGCTCTGATCGTGCTCCAGGGTGAGGGGAGTATCCAAGATGACTCCAAGTTGGGCATGGTAAATTTTTTTAATCAGAGGGGAGGTTTGTTCAACTCTGTTGGCATAGTCTCACACTCACCTCCTCTGCTCCAAGGAGACCAATGCCTGGGCACTGCCACATGACCACACAAAGGACCTGTGCAGTCCTCAGGGTGGGCATGGATCCTGCAGCAATGACCCTCACCAGGCAGTCAGGGAGCCCTGCATGTGTGGGGCGTCCCACAGTGACTGCCCAAAGTCCCAGCCACTCCTGTGCCCTCACACACAGCCACAGCATTTTCAGGGTCCCAGCACACAAGGCTCCCACAGTCACGAGCGCCCAGCCCCAGGTTAATTCTCCCAGCCAGACTCAGGCACCTCCTCTTAGCTGGTTCTGGGCCCGCAGACACGAGCTGGCGCAGCTGTTATGTATGTTCAAAGCGCTGCCACCCTCTCTCAGCTAGCACAGGACACTGGTGCAGGTGTTGGGGAAAGAGAAACCGGCCCCCTTTCTCCCCTCTCGGTTGGTAGGTACACTGTCTTCCACAGGGCTCCAAGCCAGTCTCATGTCAGGCTCATCCCATAGCTGTATCACAGCGGCGTGGGCTGCTGCAGTCTGGTCTCACCTCACTCCAAAGCTGGTGCTGAGGCTCTCAGCTGCTGGGTCCTGAGCTGTGCGCGTCCACACCCTCCACGTAGGTCCACAGTGTCCCTCCACGTAGGTCCAGTGTCTCCCTAACTTCCCTGAGATTGTTCTCTCCCCACGCTTTTTTTGTTTTGTTTTGTTTTTGTTTTGTTTAGCCATCTTCCCCTGGACTACAGCAGTAAGCTCCCTCCCTATCCCACCATCTAGGTTCCTCTCTAAAGCTTTCAATTTTTAAACTGACAAACACTGCAGCATCACAAAATCTGAAAAGCACTGCGACGCCGCTTGCCCTCTAACACCTTCTCCCCCACATCACTGCAGGCCCGAGAAGCAGCAGTTTTTCTGGAGGCCTGAGCCGCCCTTCCCGCCGACACTGGGGAAGCCTGGCCTTCCTCTCCTCCAGTAACGTTGTGCTGATGGAGCACGAAGGGCCCAGCCCCAGGTGACTGACAAGGCCACCAGGGGCAGAACCAGCCTTTCTCTGCACCTGGCACAGCCCCCAGGATGCTCGAGAGGGAGTGCTGGCTATCCTAGGACAGGCCAGTGTCAACTCCCCCAGGGACCAGTGACCCCGGGGCTGCCTCACACTCTGCAAAACCAGCAGGGATTGTGAGTGACCCACTGGAAGGCCATGAGACGCACCAGTGTTGTGGTTCCCAAATGCCAATTCTAGCACTGGCCCACTTGAAGCTGCAAGGTGTGTATGTAAGACTGATCTACTGGGGTTGGTACCATGGCGTAGTGGGTAAAGCTGCCACCTGAAGTGCCAACATCCCATACTGGTGCTGGTTCGAGTCCCGGTTGCTCCACTTCTGATCCAGCTTTCTGCTATGGCCTGGGAAAGCAGTAGAAGATGGCCCAAGTCCTTGGGCCCCTGCACCCACGTGGCAGACCTGGAAGCTCCTGGCTCCTGGCTTCAGATTGGCACAGCTCCAGTTGTTGTGGTCATCTGGGGAGTGAACCTGTAGAAGGAAGATGTCTGTCTGTCTGTCTGTCTCTCTCTCTAACTCTGCCTCTCTGTAACTCTGCATTTTAAATAAATAAATAAATCTAAAAAAAAAAAAAAAAAAGACAACTATTTGAAAGGCAGAGTTAGAGAGGGAGAGACAGATATCTACTATCCACTGGCTCACTCCCAAATGGCTGCAATGGCCAAGATTGGGCCAGCTGAAGCCAGGAACTCTGAGTCTCAACATCGTTGGCAGGGTCCAAGCACTTGGGCCGTCACCTGCTGCTTTCCCAGGTGCATTAGCAGGGAGCTGGATGGGAAGTGGAGCAGCCGGGACTTGAACTGGCGCCCATATGGGATGCTGGTGCTGCAGGCGGTATCTTTACCTGCTATATTACAGCACCAGTCACAAGGCTACAAGTTCTAAGCATTGGTGGTTTGTGTAAAATGAAGACTTTTTCCCCCAAGATTTACTTATTTACTTGAGGATTTAGAGAAAAAGGGAGAGACAGATCCTCCATCTGCTGGTTCATTCCTTAAGTGGCAGCAACAGCCAGGACTGAGCCAGGCCAAAGCCAGGAGCCAGGTGCTTCATCCGGGTCTCCCATGTGGGCAGCAGGAACCCAAGGACTTGGGCCATCTTTTGCTGCTTCTCCCAGCCCATAGCAAGGAACTGGATCAGAAGTGGAGTAGCGGGATATGAACTGGTGCCCACACGGGATGCCGGCATCACAGGCAGCAGCTTTAACAGCTATGCCACAACACTGGGCCAACTTCCTTCAGGACCCCCAGGACTAACAGAAGTCCATCCATGGCTCTCTGCCCACCAGCCAATCTGCTCCTACCAGATCAACCACAGGCAAGGAGGAACCCTGAGCTATGCTTCCTGAACAGTTTCATGATGGAATAAGTATGTCAGACTGGCAGCTGCCAAAGCCAAAACCATCCTGGACCCCACGTCTGTGTAATGACAGGCGGGAATAACAGCGCAGACCCCGTGATCTGTTCGCCGGGCTCAGAGTAGATAAACCGGCAAATCAGAGTCCAGGGGTCATCAGGTTTGAAGCTTTGGCAACGCCAAGTTTTCAAGCCATGGTCCCTTGTCCTGCATTCATCCCATCTGCCCCAGGGCCCTGACCCACAGCACAGGAGACAGATCCTTCCACTCCATCCAGCACCAGGACACCACAGGCGTACCCCAAATGACAGCCTTCCAACCCTAACCTGGACCCAACACGCTCACAGCGCCGAGGCTCCCCCCAGCTGTAGCCCCAGCTGCCTGCCCTCTCCTTTCCCAGTTCTCCACCTCGAAGGAGGAGCAGCAGTTAAACTACCCCCAACCCACGTGTGAGACAGTTCCCGCCCACGGACGACACAGTTCCTACCCACGGACAAGACAGTTCCCACGGATGACACAGTTCCCACCCACGGACAACACAGTTCCCACGTATGAGACAGTTCCCACCCACGGACGAGACAGTTCCCACGTGTGAGACAGTTCCCAGGTATGAGACAGTTCCCAGGCTGCAGTTAAACTACCCCTCAACCCACGGATGACACAGTTCCTACCCACGGACAAGACAGTTCCCACGGATGACACAGTTCCCACCCACGGACAACACAGTTCCCACGGATGAGGCAGTTCCTGGGCTACAGTTAAACTACCCCTCAACCTACATGTGAGATAGTTCCCACGGATGGTGCAGTTCCCATGGACAAGACAGTTCCCACGGATGACGCAGTTCCCATGGACAAGACAGTTCCCACGGACGAGACAGTTCCCACGGACATTTCCTGGGCTACAGTTAAACTACCCCTCAACCTACGTGTGAGACAGTTCCCATGGACGACGCAGTTCCCATGTATGAGACAGTTCCCACCCATGTACGAGACAGTTTCCACGTGTGAGACAGTTCCCACGTGTGAGACAGTTCCCACGTAGCTACAGTTAAACTACCCCTCAACCCACGGACGAGACAGTTCCCACATACGACAGTTCCCACGTATGAGACAGTTCCCAGGCTGCAGTTAAACTACTCCTCAACCCACGGACAAGACAGTTCCCACCCACGTACAGTTCCCACCCACGTATGAGACAGTTCCCACCCATGGACGAGACAGTTCCCACCCACGTATGAGACAGTTCCCACCCACGTGTGAGACAGTTCCCAGGTATGAGACAGTTCCCAGGCTGCAGTTAAACTACCCCTCAACCCACAGACGAGACAGTTCCCACCCACGGACAAGACAGTTTCCACGTAGCTACAGTTAAACTACCCCTCAACCCACAGACGAGACAGTTCCCACCCACGGATGAGACAGTTTCCACGTACGAGACAGTTCCCACATGTGAGACAGTTCCCACGTGTGAGACAGTTCCCAAGTGTTAGACCATTCCCACCCACAGACGAGACAGTTCCCACATACGACAGTTTCCACGTACGAGACAGTTCCCACGTATGACAGTTTCCATGGATGAGACAGTTCCCACATGTGAGACAGTTCCCACGTGTGAGACAGTTCCCACCCACGGACAAGACAGTTCCCAGGCTGCACCTGCTGGCGTTTTGATACTCTGAGCTTTTATTTGCACAAAAGGACACAAAAAGACACTGTTGCTGTTTCGTGAAACAAGTCAGACCTACTTGTTGGCACCATGTATTAAAGTCTTGTGAGCAAACTGAGACAAGAGGGAACTGAAACCACTGAGCCCACCCAGCCGGTCCATGCAGAGCGCTCTCGGCAGCAGGGCCACTCGAGCAGTTCACTGGTCAGCACTCACTGGGTACGCTGCAGAGCAAAGCCACCAAGCTTCAGGGGACAGCACCGGGGATGGCAGCAGCAGGGCCGTTCTCAGTGCTCGGCCTGCAGCAGGTCAGAGGAATGCGGAGAGAAAGCGGAATGTGGTCAGCCTGCAGCCGTCCTTCTTGAAACCAGAGTAGGCTGCTTTCTGGACCCATCGGACCCATCACAAGGCATCACCTTCAACAGCTCCGAGATGGCCCTGGACCCGAGGGCAGCAGGAGGTAGCGGCAGAGCCACGCACGCTGGCCGCGTCCCTGCTCACCGGGTGCCCTCCCCACGCGGTGGCCTCCCTCGGTTCTCTGCCTCTGGAGCAGCAGCAAGGCCCAAGGCACCGGGCCTCAGAGGCCCCTCTGTCCATCTCCCCAGCGTGGCTCTGTCTAGCTGTGAAGCCCAACAGTGTGTAGCTTCAGGATGGCCAAACCTTTCCTCGGAGACACCTTGTACCTTTTACGGCCTGGAAATAAGCTACCGAGTGGGTCTTACGCTATTCCAGTCACTGGGAAAACTGGGAAGAACACACAACGAGGAGAACCTGGAGAAACGAGAGCCCCACCGGCCCTGGCGAGAACCAGGTCCACGTGGAGGCTCCTTGCAGGGACGCCAGCTCACTTGACGAGATTCCTCATGATGTTTAGGGAGGATCCTCTGTACCCTGACCCAAAATGATTCCAGTGGTTCAAGTAGTGAAAGAGCTGGTACAGCTTCAGGCGCTTCTCGAACCCTGGGGCCTTGGGGATTTTGCTGTGGTAGGCAGAGTAGAAGGAGCTACTGAAGCCCCCGAACATGCCGGCTATCGCCAGCTCGTACTCCGAGTGGCCGTAGAAAGAAGCCGGGTCAAAAATGATGGGTCCAGAAGAATCCTCTGCCACGTTTCCTCCCCAGAGGTCTCCGTGGAGTAAGGCCGGGACAAGCTCCAGATCACGGAACAGGTCGGGGATCTTCAACTGCGGGAAGAAAACAGAGCCTCAGCGGAGGCCGGTGTCTCTCTGAGCGTCCTGGTGTCTGAGCAGCAGCCGGCACTCAGAGGTGGCCGCACTGCCACGGGGCAGGACGGACGCCACAGGGCTCTGCTTCCTGCACAGACCCAGACTTACAGGTGGCCGCACTGCCACGGGGCAGGACGGACGCCACAGGGCTCTGCTTCCTGCAGACCCAGACTTACAGGTGGCCGCACTGCCACGGTGTCTCCCGCGTGCGTGCCGACGGGGCATGCTGCTCACCTGCAGAGCAGCCCAGAGCTCCAGGGCCTCCCTGTCCCCAGACTCCTGCTGCACCATGTCTATCTGGGGCTGGATGCGCTGCCGGGCGTAGAATGTGACCCAGTCTTTCTGCCAGTCGTTCACCTGCACGGGCGACACAGGAAAAGACCGCAACTGAAGGAGGCTCCGACGCCCAGCAGTGTCCCACAGTGGACGCAGGCTGCTGAAGGGGGCGAGGGATGGCCGCAGAGTCTCACAGACACGTGGAGACCTCCAGCGCCCACTGCAGCCTCCCAGGACGTTTTCTTTGAAGGTACACTTCCCTTAGCGTGGAGGCAGAGCAGCCAACCCTCCCTGGCCCCAAGCCCTGGCAGGGTGACAGCGTGAGAAGTCTGAGCCCCACTCAGGGCGCATCAGGACACAGGTGCTCACCTGGGGGAAGTGAGACACACGAGAGCAGCGTGACAGAGGCAGCAGACACAACCGTGTCACACGCACACACACACACATGCACACACGCACACAGCAGGTTCCAGGCAGGACGGGGTGGAGCTGACGACACTTCCTGGAGCAGGCAGGAGAGAGCACCCCACAGCCCTGAGGCCTTTTCCCGACAACCCCCTAACGCACTCCTCATCTCAAAAGCGTCATCCGCTCCTGCCCGGAGGAAACCCTGCGAGTTCCCAGACTCCTCGGTGAGCCCTGCGCAGGGCCCACGCTGCCTTTCCTGTGACAGCAGAGCCTCCGCCCATCCGTGCACTCTCTGGGCACCAAGAACTCTTCAGGCTGAAATTCCCAGGGCAGAGGACCATAGAGCCACAAAACTGGGAGCTGCGATCCTTCACTCTGCTTTGAGAACTCAGCAAACCCTCGGTTTCTCCACTTCCCCAGCCTGTGAGGTGGTGGACCTCACGGCAACCTCTTAGAACCAGCAAAGAACAAGAGGCACAGACCTTCACCAGCTGTCAGAAAACAAGAGCTGCCTGTGAAAGGAGGCACAGCTGTCACTCACCTGGGGGAGGTATCCACAGCACGTCACCACGTCAAATCCAAACTGGTCCACGAAGGGCCGTTCTGCATGCCCACTCCCCCTCCCTTGTGAGCAAAGAGAAAGAAAAACCACAGGTCACTCTCATTGCTCTCGGTCAGGGTGGCCTTCCCACACCCTCTTCTCACACACTAACCCTCAGGACAGAGAACAGATTCAGGGCCAGCGCGATGGTGTAGCCAGCAAAGTCTCCACCTGCGTGCCAGCATCCCACAGGCGCGCCGGTTTGAGTGCCGGCTGCTCCACTTGCCCAGCTCCCTGCTAATGCGCCTGAGAAAGCAGCGGGTGGTCCAGGTCCCTGCACCCACGTGGGAGACCTGGATGAAACTCCTGGTTTCGGCCTGCCTGTTGCAGCATTTGGGGAGAGAACCAGTAGATAGAGGATCTCTCTATGCCTCTCCGTCTCTGCAACTCTGCCTTTCAAATAAATAAATCTTTTTTAAAAAATGAAAAGAAAAAACAGGTTCAATAATCAAGATCACCAACAGCCCCAGGTGTGGCACCAGAGCGTAGTCAGGGGGAAACACTGTCAAAAAACAAAATCAGGGCCGGTGCCGTGGCACAGGTTAATCCTCCGCCTGCAGCGCCGGCATCCCATGTGGGCACCGGTTCTTGTCCCAGCTGCTCCTCTTCTCATCCAGCTCTCTGCTATGGCCTGGGAAAGCAGTAGAGGATGGCCCAAGTCTTTGGACCCCTGCACCCACCTGGGAGACCGGGAAGAGGCACCTGGCTCCTGGCTTCGAATGGGTGCAGCTCCGGCCATTGCGGCCACCTGGGGAGTGAACCAATGGAAGGAGGACCCTCCGTCTCTCCCTCTCACTGTCTGTAACTCTACCTCTCAAATAAATAAATAAATAAAACCAGAAACCATAACGCGGGGCAGTTCTCTTCTGAGGAAAAGAGAAGCACCCCACAACGCCACGCAGGGAAGGGTGGCTCCCCACAGCCAGCCAGAAGACGTCTCTCTGACAGCGAAACTGCTGTGTTGCAAGTTGCTCCTCCTTTGTCGCCCCTAAACCCAGAGAAAATCCAGCACTCTGAACTCCAAGTAGCTCGGGGAGGACAGGACGGGTGCTCTGTGGGGTCCGTCAGGGGTTCTCACTGGGTGGGTTGTCTATGGGGACCTGCCAGGAGACTTCACAGACAGATCAGGCGTTCTGTGGGATCCCTCAGCAGATTCTCACTGAACAGGCGGCCTGCCAGTGGATTTTCGTGGAGTGGCAGTCTGTGGGACCCGTCAGTAGATTCTCAGGGGGCAGACCATCTGACAGGACCGTCTCTGGCACAGTAGATACTGGGTTATCTGTCTGCTGCTTGGCAGCTTCCACATCAAGCAGGATATCTGCAGGAGCCACACATGGACTGTCCACGCCTGTGGACGCATGTACAGGAAGATCCCTTCAGCGCTGACCCCACACTGAACTCAGGGCTGCCACTCTGAGCCTGAGAATGGCTTCTGGGGGCCAGCACTGAAGCGTAGTAGGCTAAGCCTCCGCCTGTAGTGCTGGCATCCCGCACGGGCACCGGTTTGGTCCCAGCTGCTCTACTTCTTCTTTTTTTGAAAGATTTCTTTCTTTCTTTCCTTCTTTCCTTCTTTCCTTCCTTCCTTTCTTATTTATTTACTTATTTATTTGACAGAGTAAGTGAGAGAGAGAAACAGAGAGAAAGATCTTCCTTCCGTTGGTTCACTCCCCTAATGGCCACTACGGACGGAGCTACGCCGATCTGAAGCCAGGAGTCAGGTGCTTCTTCCTGGTCTCTCATGCGGGTGCAGGGGCCTAAGCACTTCGGCCATCCTCCACTGCCCTCCCAGACCACAGCAGAGAGCTGGACTGGAAGAGGAGCAACCGGGACCAGAACCTGGTGCCCATATGGGATGCCGGCGCCACAGGCGGAGGATTAACCTAGTGCGCCACGGCGCCGGCCCCAAAAGAATTATTTATTAGAGAGGCAGAGGCAGAGAGAGAGAGAGGTCTTCCATCATCCACTGACTTACTCCCCAAGTGGCCACAATGGCCAGAGGTGCTCCACTTCTGACCCAGCTCCCTGCTGTGGCCTGGGAAAGCAGCAGAAGATGGCCCAATCCTTGGGCCCCTGCACCCGCACGGGAGACCCAGAAGAAGCTCCTGGCTTCAGGTTGGCTCACCTCTGGTCATTGCGGTGATTTGGGGAGTGAACCAGCAGATGGAAGACCTTTCTGTCTCTCTCTCTCTCTCTGTCTCTCAAATAAATAAATACATCTTTAAAAAAATGATTTCTGGAAAAAAGACTTACTTTGTATAGAAATCCAAAGTGACTGTGATTAGACTGCCCTGGGGAGTCAGGGGAAAAGCATATTCTAGGGGTCTGCGAATTCAGCAAATATTTCCTGTCTTCAAATTCACTCCCGACGGCCGATCACATTCACTGTGCTTGCCGCCCCGCAGCCTTGGGGCCACGTGTGTTTGCTCTGGCTTCAGCCCAAGTCTGACCCTGACGAGGCTGCACCTCGGCCCACCCTGAGGCCACACCAGCCTCGTGTCCTCCTCCAGGCAGTCCCCACGCCCACACAGACCCCTACCCACTGTGCCAGCCTCCTTCAGGAGTGTCTCTCCACGCTTCTTGTTATCAAGGTGCAGATCTGCCAGCTGGGATCCAAGCGTCGCAGCGTGACTGTGAAACCAAAAGGCAGCAACTGAACAGGTGACACACAAACAGCACGTGACACACAGCGACAGCTCTCGGTGCACGGCAAGTAGGTCAGGCACTCTGAGGCTCCAAAGTCCATTGTAGTGAAGCGGAATGAGCAAACCAGCCTCGGCCGTGGCGTTCCCAGTCTCGTCAAGGTTACAGCTGGGCGCTCTGTCAGCGTCTCATTTCGAGAGCATTTTCTCGCGCGCGCTGCAATGAGTCCACGGCGCTCACTCTACAGAACCCACGTTCTTGGGGGGCGGGGGGGCATGGCTTCCCTGTCTCACGCCCTGCAGAATTATGTCCCAAGGATTTCTCCAACAGAGAGGGCATCAAGACAGACCTGCTCGGGCCGCCTTGTGGTGCAGTGGGTTAAGCTGCTGCCTGGACACCTGCATCCCATATCAGGCCTCACTGCTCCACTTTTTTTATGATTTTTAAAAAAGATTTATTTATTTGAAAGGCAGAGTTACAGAGAGAAAGACAGACAGACAGAGATCTTCCATCCACTGTTTCACTCCCCAAATGGCCACATCGGCCAGAGCTGGACCGATTCAATGAACCTGGGAAAGCAGCAGAGGATGGTTCAAGTACATGGGCCCTGCCACCCATGTGAGAGACCCGGAGGGAGTTCTGGGCTCCTGGCTTTGGCCTGGCCCAGCCCCAGCTATTACAGCCATTTTGAAAGTAAAACAGTAGGCGGGCCGGCGCCGCGGCTCACAAGGCTAATCCTCCGCCTTGCGGCACCGGCACACCGGGTTCTAGTCCCGGTCGGGGCACCGGATTCTGTCCTGGTTGCCCCTCTTCCAGGCTAGCTCTCTGCTGTGGCCCGGGAGGGCAGTGGAGGATGGCTCAAGTGCTTGGGCCCTGCACCCCATGGGATACCAGAAGCACCTGGCTCCTGCCATCGGATCAGTGCGGTGCGCCAGCCACGGCGGCCATTGGAGGGTGAACCAACGGCAAAAGGAAGACCTTTCTCTGTCTCTCTCTCTCTCTCACTGTCCACTCTGCCTGTCAAATAATAATAATAATAAAATAAAAAAAGTAAAACAGTAGGCAAAAGATCTTTTTCTCTCTGCAACTTTCTGTCACTCTACCTTTCAAGTAAATAAAATAAAGCTTTAAAAAAAAGTACAGACCTGCTCAAAGACCGCATATCCAGATGCTCCATCACAAGCACGCTCCCGCCTCCTGGGGCGTCCAGGACCTTGATGGGCTTGGGCACTCTCACGGTGCCTGTTTGCAGGATCGCAGTTAGACTTGCCAGCTCACCTTCAAACATCCGTCTAGCCTGTCAGAACCATGGTGGTGGAGGGGTAAGAGGAGGAGGGGGAGAACAAGGTCATTGCAGGAATGTTCTATGCAGACACGTTCTGCCCTGGCCCAGGCTGTCCTGCCTGAGGACTTGACAGACAGGCACAGAGTTGCCACAGGCACTTGACAACTCAGACAACCCCCCCCCCAGTCCTGCTCCACCTGGTCCCTCAGGTACAGGCAGCACCAGGACTAGACCACTCTTCACACAGAGGGACCCTGTTCTCCGCTACTGCCTTCCTGACTCTGGGAATCACCTCCTCTCACCACGGTGCCAGCCTAGTCCCCTGGACCAAGGTGACCGTCCTCTACCAGGTCTCCCTGCTCACCACACAGCAGCAACCCCTTTAGAAAGGAAATCCAGCTCTTCCACTCTGCACCCTACCTAGGCCATACCGCCCCCCATGTACACAGGTGCTCCAGGAGCCCCTGTGTGGCCGCCTTAGCCCCCAGAGCCCCACTTGTCAGCAGCCAGCCTTTTCACCTCTGCTCAGAACTCGAGTCCCTCACCTTTCTGCAGGTCAGTTCCCTCTTACCATTCTTCAGAGGTCAACTTAACATCCATTTTAACTTCTCAAGGAAGTCTGCCCTAACTGCCCACGGGAGATAAGTCCTTGCCCTTCACATCTTTTTTTTTTTTTTTTTTTTTTTTTTTTACGGAAAAACGTCACTGGGATGCAAGTATCCAACTCAAAAGAACCCTCACAGCATAACCATGGCCTACATCAGCCTGGATGTCACCAGTCGGGAAACCCCACCCCCTCCGAGGTTTATTCTGCCTGGGGCCACATGCTGAGTCCAGCTTCATTCCACGCTGCATTTGCTTTGTATGAGCATTCGAGAGTTCCCTCTCACTGTGCACAGTGCCCCACTGCGTGAACATTCCAAAACGTTTTCACCCACCCTCTGCTGATGGACACCTAATTCCAGCGTGGAGCTACTGGGGATCGTGGGGCGGGTGTCTGGCCAGCAGTTAAGCTGTCACTCAGGAAGCCCAAGTCCCATGGGGAGTGCCGGGGTGGGGTCCCAGCTCCACTTTTTTTTTTTTTTTTTTTTTTGACAAGCAGAGTGGACAGTGAGAGAGAAAGACAGAGAGAAAGGTCTTCCTTTTTGCCGTTGGTTCACCCTCCAATGGCTGCCACGCTGCGGCCGGCGCACCACGCTGATCCGATGGCAGGAGCCAGGTACTTCTCCTGGTCTCCCATGGGGTGCAGGGCCCAAGGACTTGGGCCATCCTCCACTGCACTCCCTGGCCACAGCAGAGAGCTGGCCTGGAAGAGGGGCAACCGGGACAGAATCCGGAGCCCCGACCGGGACTAGAACCCGGTGTGCCGGCGCTGCAAGGCGGAGGATTAGTCTAGTGAGCCGCAGCGTCAGCCCCAGCTCCACTTCTGATTCCAGCGCCCTGCTCAGGCACAGCCTAGGAGGCAGTGGTCATGGCTCAAGCACTTGGGTCCCTGCCACCCACATGGCAGACCAAGCTCCTGGCTTTCCTCTGCCCAGTTGCCACTGTTGCTGGCGTTTGGGAAGTGAACCAGTGGATGGAAACTCTCAGTCCTCTGTCAATTAAAATTTTTAACTTAAAAATTTATTTAAAAATGTTACCATGGGGGCCGGCGCTATGGGGTAGTGGGTGGAGCCACCACCTGTAACGCCAGCATCCCATATGGGCACCAGTCTGAGTCCTAGATGCTCCAGTTCCAATCCAGCTCTCTGCTATGGCCTGGGAAAGCAATGGAAAGACGGCCCAAGTCCTTGGACGCTGCACCTGCATGGGAGACCCAGAAAAAGCTCCTGGCTCCTGGCATCGGATCAGCTCAGTTCCAGCTGTTGTGGCCAGTTGGGGAGTGAACCAGCGGATGGAAGACCTCTCTCTCTCTCTGTCTCTCCTCTCTGTGTAACTCTGACTTTCAACTAAATAAATAAAATTTTTTAAATGTTCCCATGGACATTATTCTACCTATTTTTTACTTTTTTTTTTAACTTCTTTGAAAGGCAGTCAGAGAGAGAGGACAGAGAGACAGAGAGAGATGTCTTTTATATACTGGTTCACACCCCAAATGGCCACAATGGCCAGGGATGGGCCAGGCCAAAGCCAGAAGCTTCTTCCTGGTCTCCCAAGTGGATGCAGGGGCCCAAGGACTTGGGCCATATTCCACTGCCCTGCATTAGCCATAGCAGGGAGCTGGATGGGAGGTGGAGCAGCCAGGTCTCAAACTGGTGCCCATACGAGATGCTGGCATCACAGGTGGAGGCTTAACCTGCTAAACCACAGAGCTGGAGCCCTTTAGTTATTTTCATAGTTACTAACTCTGATTCTGGACAGGTTACCTAGTCTGGGCCTCAGTTTCCTCATCTGTAAAACAGAATGATTACTAATTTTATAGGCCTGCCGTCTTAATTACCTGAGTTAGCAGCTAACATGTGGTCCATTCTAAACACTTGGTAAATATTATTACTACCTGGGGCCAGTGCTGTGGCACAGCAGGTGAGGCCACCGCCTGCAGTGCCAGCATCTCACGTGGGCGCCGGTTTGAGACCCAGCTGCTCCACTTCTGATCCCGCTCTCTGCTGTGGCCTGGGAAAGCAGTGGAAGATGCCCAAGTCCTTGGGCTCCTGCACCCGCATGGGAGACCTGGAGGAAGCTCCTGGCTCCGCTTCAGACTGGCACAGCTCTGGCGGTTGTGGCCAATTGGGGAGTGAACCAGCAGATGGAAGACCTCTCTCTCTGTGTAACTCTGATTTTCAAATAAATAGATTTTAAACATATATATGACTACTTCCCTAGATGGCTGAAGTTGCTAAGAAGGGAGAGAACTGTGTCCTAAGCAGAATTTTCAGGTATTCTCTTTGGAAAATAAAGGAAAAACAACTGGGCCCTGACTCCACTTTTACTACAGTACTGGTGTGGAGAATAAAGTAATAAAGGGGTGGTATTTAATTAAAAAAAAAAAAAAAGGGCAGGGAAAGGTGAAGGAGGGTCTGTGAGCCCAGCGCACAGGACCAGGGACTGCCTGTGGCAGGACCAAGAACACCGCCAGGGGCAGCAGGGCCAAGGCGAGACGAGCTAGACGGGTGCGGTCACACAGCTCTAGAACCCCCGGGAGGGGCGCGAGTGGAAACCAACGACAGGAGCAGGCGACGGGCAGATCACGCGGGGCAGGCGTGGTGGCGCGTGGGGTCAGACGCGGGAGTGCCTGGGCTCCACTCGAGGAAGACGAGCCAAAGGAAGACGGACTCCGGTGATGAAGCAGGCGAAAACCCGAGGAACAGCAACAGAACAAGCTCTAAAGCCCCGCGAGCGGCTCCACTCTAAGCGGGCAAACTGCTTGCCCCTCTGTCCTCACGCCCAGTCCTCGGCCACGCCGGGGGCCGCGCACGGAGAACCTGCGCCAGGGCCCAGGCCGACGGCGGGAAGGGCCGCTCGGGGCCCGCGGCTGGTCCGGAGACCCCGCGTTTCAGGGCGGCCACATCCCGGCGGCGATGTGTCCACCGCAGGCCTCGGACTCCCGGGCGCGGTGGACACAGCCCGCAGCACAGCGGCCGACGCGGCGCCTCAAACCCCCCAGGCCGCTTCTCCCACGCGTCCGCGTTCACGACGCGCCGGACATAAGGGACGTCCCCAACGCGGCGGCCACGCCGACCCGGGAGAAGACCCCCCCAGACCCCACAGCCCCCCGCGCCCCCAGCCCCGGCCCTGACCTCCGCCTTGGAGTTCACTTTCACAAACACTCGTCCTCTGTCCGTGTCGTAACTCTGGCCCTGGCTAATGCACCCGCCTCCCGAATGACCCGTGGCCTTGACCGAGCCGTAGCCCAACTCCCGCCGCAGCAACGCCTCCATGTTCTCGCCTGGATGCGAGAGAGCCTCCGGCCGGGACCAAAGGCGAGCGATGGCGGCCGGGCAGGATCAAACGCAGCGCCCTGCAAGCATTGGCTGAGGGGCGGGCCCGAGCCGCCGTGACAAGTGCAGCGATTGGGCGAGGGCTGGTCTCGGGACGCGGTGACGCGCGCGAGGATTGGGTGAGGTGGAGAGGAGGGCGGGTCTCGGTGATGCGCGCAGGGATTGGGTGGGAGGCGGGGCCGGCCATGGTGAAGAGTGCAGCGATTGGACGAGAGGTGGGACGGGCCGTGGCGCCGCGCTCGGGGATTGGACGAGGGGCGGGGCCGGCTGGGTCCGCCGAGCGCGGGCCGTGTAGCCCCGGCAGGGCAGCTCCGGAGCGCGGAGGTGATCCTGTGCCGGCTCTGAGGCGCGCACTGGCTTCAGGCTCGGCGCGGGAAGGTGATCGCCAATGAGCGGCTTCGGGAGCCCGCGAAGGCTGTGTGGCGGCCTCGGGTCATCGCGGGGGTTGGAACGGGGGCTGGCTCCGGGAGGGCGGCGGGTGGGCGGTGGCCGCTCTCCTCGGCTCCCGGCGGGGCTCCGGGGTAGCTGGGGCTCGCCCTGCGCTGCATCTGCCCCTACCCTGGCCGCGGCCCGCCGTTGACGTCGCCCACCGGCCTGGCTGCGCCCCGAGGCGCCCCGCGCTGCCCGCCCGCGTCCTCGGGTGGCGACCCCGTGGCCCTCCGCTCCCGACCTGGGGTCTTCGGCGCGCTGTGCGCCTCAGCCGCGGCCTCGGGGGTGCTGGCGTTTGGGTGGGTTTTGCACCAGCGTCAGCTGGCCTTCAGCTGGATGTGCGCGTGCGCAGAGACGCATTTTCAGGAATTGGCTCGTGCCCCCGTGGAGGTGCAAACCGGGGTGGGCCGGCAGGCTGCAGGCTCAGCGAGGGAGGCAGCGCTCAGGACAGAATCCCTTTTTGCTTTTAAAAAATATTTATTTAAAAGACAGAGAGGAGGTCTTCCATCTGCTGGTTCATTCCGCAAATGGCCACGACAGCGGTGACTGAGCTGATCAGAAGCCAGAAGCTTCCTCCAGGTCTCCCATGCAGGTGCAGGGGCCCAAGAACTTGAGCCATCTTCCACTGCTTCCACATAGCGGAGAGCTGTATCGGAAGTGGAGCAGCCGGGACTCGAACCGGCGTCCATATGGGATGCTGGCACTACAGGCAGCGGCTTTACCTGCTATGCTACAGCGCCGGCCCCCGGAATTCTTTTCTTTTTTTTCTTTATTTTTTATTTTATTTATTTATTTATTTATTTTTGGCAGGCAGAGTAGACAGTGAGAGAGAGAGAGAAAGGTCTTCCTTTGCCGTTGGTTCACCCTCCAATGGCCGCCGCGGTCGGCGCACTGCGGCCGGCGCACCGCGCTGATCCCATGGCAGGAGCCAGGTACTTCTCCTGGTCTCCCATGGGGTGCAGGGCCCAAGCACTTGGGCCATCCTCCACTGCACTCCCTGGCCACAGCAGAGCTGGCCTGGAAGAGGAGCAACCGGGACAGAATCTGGCGCCCCGACCGGGACTAGAACCCGGTGTGCCGACGCTGCTAGGCGGAGGATTAGCCTATTGAGCTGCGGCACTGGCACAAATATCCTTAAAAACATTTTTTTCCCCACTAACAATCTGAGCGCTGCAGCCCAGCCCAGCTGACACAGAATTAATCCCCAGCCATCCGTTGTGTCCCAGTGCCAGTCATGCTGGGATAAGAATGTGCTGAAACAATGAATGAGGGAACGAGGTTGCAGGTTTAAGGAATAATGAAAGCTCTGTTTGCAGATTGTTTGGGACCAGTCTTTCTACTGAAAACAACTAGAAATGCTGACTAATGACATCTGGGGTGTGCATCTGGCACAATGGTTGAGGCACTGCTTGGGAGACCCATGTCCCTCAGTGGGGTGCCTGGGATGATGTAGGGCCCTGCAGTCACCTCGTGATTCCATAGGCCGCGGTGCTCATAGCCCCAAATTCAGCAGAATCATTCAACTTGGATGCCCTGCAAATGGTGTGTTGGAAGGTGAAGGGAGCTGAATTGAGGCTCCAGGGAATAGGTCGTGCTGTGAACTGACCACAGGGCTGAGTGGTTCCTGCACACCAGTGGCTTTCCAAAGTGCTTCCCACGTGCTGCAGTGAGAAACAACCTCACATGTACACCTGCAGGATGGACTCAGAATCGAAAGTGCAGCAGAAGTGAGATTTTATTTTATTTTATTTTTTTATTTTTTGACAGGCAGAGTGGACAGTGAGAGAGAGAGAGAGAGAGAAAGGTCTTCCTTTGCCGTTGGTTCACCCTCCAATGGCCGCTGCGGCCGGCGCACTGCGGCCGGCGCACCGCGCTGATCCGATGGCAGGAGCCAGGAGCCAGGTGCTTTTCCTGGTCTCCCATGGGGTGCAGGGCCCAAGCACCTGGGCCATCCTCCACTGCACTCCCGGGCCACAGCAGAGAGCTGGCCTGGAAGAGGGGCAACCGGGACAGAATCCGGCGCCCCGACCGGGACTAGAACCCGGTGTGCCGGCGCCTCTAGGCGGAGGATTAGCCTAGTGAGCCACGGCGCCGGCTGAAGTGAGATTTTATTAACAATCTTGCAAGATCAGGTGCTGGTGGGCCAGCACACCAAGGGGTGGTTTCCAGCAGGCTGTTTATTTCCTAGCTGGTCCCCCACCCCGTTCCTCACTGGCTGGATGCTGAGGTTTACCATCTTCCCTGCATTTGCTTCACTGTTTAGGCCATGCCTGACTTCCTGTTTGCCTGAGATCTTTCCGGGTGCATGTAACTTGGCTGGCCAGCTCCTGGTAACTTTCTACGTATTTGCAAGCTCTGGTGCCAGCTAGCTGTCTACTCACAGCTAGACACCTTACTTTGAAAATGAACCAAATGTTTACTTCCCACAATCCCTTCTTCTTCTTACAATTTTTGGTCTTGTTTTCATTTTGATGACCTTCCCTTTACCTTTGGGCACTTTGTGGAATGCCAGGGTGAAGGGAGTGGCTAACTGAACTACAGCACAACTCCTGGTCCAGTGGACAGTTGCAGGACGTGGCAGTTCCTCTTTCCACAATACCACCAGACATCAGCCCAGGATATAAGGAGAGTTGGGTAACTACCGCTGTCGGGCTCACCAGCAACATTCAAGGTGCACGTGCAGGTCGACAGTTCTCTCACGGGTTCGTGGAACTCAGTCCCCTATCTGGAAAGGCAAAAGGAATGGTTCATGTTCCCAGTGGAGAAAAGGCATTGCCTTGGAGTTTGACCTTTGCGACGTGGGGGAGAAGAACAGGGATTTGCAAGTCTTGTTTCCCTTGCCTTGGTATAGAGCCAGCGTGCATCAGGACTGGTATCCCGTCCTAGAGGAATCTGAACCACCCGTGCCAGAGGTGAGGGCTTTACTAAGAATTTAACCCATTCTCCCAGGATTCCTGTCTCTGCACTCTGTCTCGATTTATGTCCCGGCTGATCTCCCTCCCACAATTCTGTATTAGTTTTGAGACTGAGCCAACCCACAGTTAAAGGTTCCTCAGTCACTTTTAAGGGCCCTTCGGGTGATCTACACACTTTCCACTGGTCATTACCCCTTTTAGGTCTTGTTTACCAGTCCTTCCCCGCGGTTTGTACGGTGGTCTCAGTGGTCAGGAGCACTTGAAGCCTAGTGGCTGGGTTCACTAACCTGTGGAATGATCAGTCTTCCCATCTTAGGCATTTACACAACCTCCACACCCCTGCTTAGCAGCAGTATAGATTTCCACACACCCACAATCTCCAAGGGTTGCATCACACTTCACATGGACATTAACTGTCTCGTAAACATACGTCTGGCATCATTTTATAAACTTACAATGCATTTTCAGAGGTTCAAACCACTTGACAAAACAACCCATTTAAGACTCAGTTTTCAATCAGTGCTCAATAATGGCAACAGAAACACACATGAGACCTTTATCTAGGTTAGTTACAAAGTCAGAAAAACTTTAATTAGCCTGTGATAGCAGCATCATGAAACAAAGAAATACCGGAACTTGGACCCTTCCCTGTTACCCCTAACTGTCTATTTTTCCTCGGAGAATTCTGTATTATTTGGTTGATAGAGAGGAACTGGCAGCTCTAGTGTCATCCAAAAATGTTATCTCTTCCCCTTCGGGTCTCACCCTTAAGTTCTTTCCACACCTGTAACATCCGCTGACCGTCTTAGGAGTTCCTCCCTATATCCCCTCCCAGTCGTTTGCTGAAATTCCAGACTTCTCCACTTTTTGTGAGTGGGATTTTGATTTACAATGGAAGCCATGATTTTTTCTTTTGTTTTTGCTTTTCCTATTCCTTCCTCAAGAAACCTTTCTGTGCTTCTCTTAATAACCCCTCAATTGATTTTTCATTCTACCCATCTTTTGTAATTTTTTTTTTTTTTGACAGGCAGAGTAGACAGTGAGAGAAAGAGACAGAGAGAAAGGTCTTCCTTTGCCGTTGGTTCACCCTCCAATGGCCTCTGCGGCCGGCGCGCTGCGGCCGGCACACCGCGCTGATCCGATGGCAGGAGCCAGGTGCTTTTCCTGGTCTCCCATGGGGTGCAGGGCCCAAGCACCTGGGCCATCCTCCACTGCACTCCCTGGCCACAGCAGAGGGCTGGCATGGAAGAGGGGCAACCGGGACAGAATCCGGCGCCCCGACCGGGACTAGAACCCGGTGTGCCGGCGCCGCTAGGCGGAGGATTAGCCTAGTGAGCCGCGGCGCCGGCCCCATCTTTTGTAATTTCTTTGTGATATCAATCCAGCTCTTGGTTATAAAATTACAAGGGTACCTAAAAAAAGTTTGTGAGAAGTGAAATTAACAAGTAAGTTTATTTTATGCAAATAATTTTTAAAGATTTATTTATTTGAAAGACAGAGTTAAAGAGAGGCAGAGAGAGGTCTTCCATCCACTGGTTCACTCCCTAACTGGCTGCAACAGCTGGAGCTGTGCCAATCTGAAGCCAGGAGCTTCTTCCCAGGCTCCCACGCAGGTGCAGAGGCCCAAGGACTTGGGCCTTTCTACTGCTCTCCCGTGCCATAGCAGAAAGCTGAATTGGAAATGG